AAAAAAACAAACCTTTTTTTTTTTTTTTTTTTTTAAAAAAAAGAAAGACATCAGTATAAGGTTTAAGCTCTCTTCTTATTTGTACTTTTTAATAGTGTATGCATTTTTCATCAGTGTTCCATTAAGGGTTTTTACAAATTGCATATTCTAAGTTAATTTTTGCATAGCCTTTACTTATAAAATATTGTGGAGCACAGTACTTTAAAATTATATTCCATTGCTATGGAATTAGCACTCTGTGCACTCTACAGATAAGTTTATGAGGCTTCATTGTAGTCAAAATTCACATGGAATATGTACACTTGTGAAATTCACATGGAATATAAAGTACATGCTTGTGAAACTCACGTGGAATATGGAGTACACACTTGTGAAATTCACGTGGAATATGGAGTACACATGGTATACACTGTGCTTACTAAGTACTTAATACAGTTTTGCCCTTGATAAGGTTTTACCTACCTTGGTTCTCAAATTGTATTTCCAGAGAGCTGAGGGTGCTAAATTGTGAAATGTAAATTTGTAATCTTGATATCACAGTGGATTTGTATCATTTAGAGGGTCTCAGGAATGGACTACCCCATGGTTTAAAACTTCCTGCAAATGTTAACTCAGACAAGCATCTGGACAGTACTAGATGGAATGACATACCTTTGCCTCTATACCAGGGTTTCTAAATAGTGGCACTATAATATCTTCTTCAAGATTATGTTTTGGGCATTTTAGGATATTTAGCAGCATTTCTGGTCAGTATCACTTTCCCCTTCCATTGTGACAATGAAAAACATCTCCAAATTTTGCCAAATATCCCTTGAGGGGGCACAGCTGACCCCAATTTTATACATATAGGAGATGCATTTGTTAGAATTCCAAAATATCATTTTTTGTAGGGTGTTTTGGTCCTGGAAACACTGGCTCAATGTCTCTATCATGGGCCCTCTTCCCAAAGCCAAGTCTCTTTTCCATTAAGGAATTCCAGAATATTTATGTAGGTGATTCTAGATCACTGTTGATTTTCTTCCTTTCCCTTAGGTTTCTAACATTTATATATAATTCTTTACAGTAGTGGTAAGGCTGTAGGCTGACGTGATTCACATTCCACCACCCTCAGAATAGGAGTGTGTATGAAACCACAAGCACTTAATAGAAAATTTGCTGAAAGACAAAAACACAAACCTTAAGCTTTGTCAAAACAGTATTCTTGAGCTAAAATTTCAGTGTGTAGATAACTGGGGCAATTCTGAATGTATTGATGTTTCTACTTTTCTGCCCAAATACAATCTATTTTACTTGTTCAAATTTCAGGATGTCCAGAATATAGTGGCCAACCTGGCCTCCAGGATGCCTCTCCTGGCCTCAAGACTGACTACAAAGTCCCACCACCTGGCTATTCAGGTGCTGGTTCAGTGAGATTCCCTGTCCAACACCAGCCAGTGCATAAACAGCCAGGTGGACCTGCAAGGGGACCATGGGTGCCAGCACCACCTCTTCCATCAGACTGTCCACCAGGATTGGAATGTTTAAATCAGGTGATTTCACATACATAAAACTCATTAAAAGAAAACTGTGCTTCCAGTTTACATAATAAGAGTAACAAATTACTAATTCACAAAAGTCTGAAATGATAAAACAACATTTTTTCCTAACAGATTACTCTAATTCTTCTAGGTCAGGTTTACTTTTAAAGCAAACTACAAATGGCTTAAGAAATTGTGTTTTCTATGATCTTCGATATAATCCGTGATTACAGCCAATAGCAAACATTCATTAAGCACCATTTTCCAGGCTTTCTTTCTAAGTATAATACAAGTATTAACTCTTTTCATCCTTTTAGAAATTCTGTAATATATAAGTGCTATAATTATTAGCATTTTACAGAAGAGGAAACTGAGGTCCAGAAAAGTTACATAAAATGCTCAACATCAGCATGCCAAGGAAGCATGAATGGCTTTTTACTTCTGGTACCTTGATTCTGTATCCTGGGCCCCTTAATCCCAACACTAAATAATTTCCTAGGAATAGGAAATAACAAATAAAGCTTAGTGTTGAGTTTCAGTAAAAGAGTTAGAGCCTTAGCCGGCGTGGCTCCATGGTGAGAGTGTTGGCCCATGGACTGACGGGCCTCAGGTTCAATTCTAGCCAAGGGTGCGCACCTTGGTTGCAGGCTCCCTGGCCCTGGGAGGAGCGCAGGCGGTAGGCAACCAATTGATGTGTCTCTNTTGCAGGCTCCCTGGCCCTGGGAGGAGCGCAGGCGGTAGGCAACCAATTGCTGTGTCTCACATCAGTGTTTCTCTCTCTCTCTCCCTTCCACTCTCTCTGAAAAGCAATGGAAAAAATATCCTCTGGTGAGAATTTTAAAAAAAAGAAAGGAGTTAGAATTTTTCGTGTAATATGACTCACTTTTATTGTAATTAAGAAACTTACATTTTTATAATGTTTTTGTTCTTCAGAAAACCAATGTTATAGATACTACTGTCAACTGATAGTTGTTAGTGCCAGCTCAGTGCCTACAGGAATCCCCCACTAGGGCACAGTGAAGAAGGAAACGCCAGCTCAGTGCCTACAGGAATCCCCCATCTAGGGCACAGTGAAGAAGGAAACGCCAATCAGTGCAAACAGCTCATCTGAGATGCAGCAGGCTGTGGGACAGCTCAGTGGTGTTCCAGTCAATCAGGAACAGCGGGGCTGCGGAGCAGCAGCGAGGCGGCCTCAGGCGGCCGGGAGCCGGCCCTCTCCAGCCGGTGGCCGCGCTCTGCCCAGGCCGCGCTGGGCCGCTGTGCTCCACCTGCTCTGCTCCGCTCCGCTCCAGCCTGCTGCGGTCTCTCTGGTCAACCACCTTCGGTGTTGCAGCTCCAGCCAGGGAAACTCAGTGTTCAGTGTTTGGTGGAAAGGGAGATTATGCCCCCTGAGCCGGGGGAGCTGACTTACCCAGGAGCTAGTCCCGGCCCCTGCTTGCTGACTGAGCTGTCCTCATGTAAATGAGAACTTTGAATCCTCACAGTGTGATTGGCTCTAAAAGCTGTTCTGTTCCAGTTCGGCAGAATGCAGCCGCTCTGATTGGTCAGTAAAGATAGTGATAGGACTATAGCTGCACAGTTCTGAATGGACAGGGAAAGTCTCATCCTACTGGCTGAAGTCAGATTCCAGGAACTCTCTTGGACAGGCTGGCTCAAGTGGCAGGAACACAGCGCAAGCAGGCAACTCTGCAGGAGGCAGGAAGCCCAGTGCAGGCTTCTCCCTGAGGTGTGGTTTGCATAAGATGCCCCTATTTAAAAACAGCTATTAGGCTCTTTTTAAAAATTTGAGCACAGTTAGCCACCAGGATTCATTCTTGATAGGTATCTTTTTTCTCAGGGTCAAGACCACTAACAAAAAAATAAAATCCTGAACTTCAATGTACTGCAAGATAGTTTATCTCAGCAATGTGAGATTTTATATTTGTTTGGTATTAAGAATCTCATAGATAAAGTAGAAATTCAAGTTCTAATGTGTTCAATTTATAAATAAATAAATATTCCTATAATAGGCAATCACTTTTCAATAAGTGAATTTTCTCTTTCATACTCTCTTTACTAATTTAATTTCCCATAATGCACTTGAGCAGCATATTTTATAATAATTTTAGTAGTTCACATATTCAAGAAACACCTAGGTAGATTTTTTAAAATTAGGGACTCACAAAATATGTAGGGCAAATAATGATATCAAGTATACTTAGAAAATAATCTTGAGATTTATAGAAAAAATTCCTTAAATGGATGATAAGGTCTTACTAGTTCCTACACATCTTCTACAAGGAATGATGTTTTCTCATATTTATAAGTATTCCTGTCAGAGTCATTTGCCCGGCTTAATAGTGAGCACACCCAAGATATTTTTTAAATTATAAATTATTTTACTTTATTTTTATACTTTAAATTAATACAAACTATTATTAAATATTGAGACTATTGACAAATATTGATAGTTACATCATTTCTAAAAATATAAAAATGATTCTTAATTTGGTTAACTTAAAAAATATAATGTATACTTACAGCTTAACATTTTTTAATATATTAGGTAAATGAGGTATTGGTTCATCAGCAAATTGATCTTCTGGAAGGTATGTATTCTATTATCATTTTTCTATAAAGAAAAGATTTATGCAGATAAGGGCACATAAACTACCACAAATATAATATTTTTGCTGATATATTGGTTAAGCCTCATTATTTACAAATTTCTCTCCTCCTAACAGTAAAATGATAAAGATTATCATCAGCTCATTTCTTGAAATTAGAGTCAAGTGGTTAAATTATATTTCTTTGGGCACCTGTCCTCATGATACTGAGCCTAATTCAGAAGGAGAACAATGAAACCTTATTTTTGTTCTCCCTTCACTCTAGAAATCACTTGTGATTCTATTACTTTACCTTACTTGTATCGCTTCAGCTCTTTTCTCCCCAATTTGTGATAACCTTGAGATTGACACAGAGCCGCATGCAATAGTTTATGTTACCTTAGTACTGTGTATTAAAAGTTACATTAGTATATTTCTAAAGCAAGTAAACTTTTAAAATTTGGATGGATGCCCTGGCTGGTTTAGCTCAGTGGTTGGAGCCTCGGCCAGCAGACAGAAGGGTCCCTGGTTTGATTCCAGCCAAGGGCAGGTACCTCATTTGCAGGCTCTATCCCTGCCCCTGGATGGGGCGAGTTTGGGGAGGTAACCAATCCATGTGTCTCTCTCACATCGATGTTTCACTCCCTCTCTCTCTCCTTCCCACTCTCTCTGAAAAAGCAATGGGAAAAATATCCTTGGGTGAGGGTTAAATAAATAAATAAATTTGGATGAGTATGTTATGGAAAATCATATTCCTGCCTACAGTTTCTCTTTGAAGTTGAGATGAACCCTGTAAAACCTTTGTTCCATGGACTGTGAATTACCAGCTTAGATTAAGCAATGCTACAGTGTTGGATTGTGCTGACCAGCAGACCCAGTGGCCTAGCTTCCTAGAAGAGCACTCCTGATCATTCTACATGACACCTTTGACTCTACAAGATGCTTCCTGTGCTCCCCAAATGCAAAAATAAAATTAGGAAGCCACTAGATGTTTCAGGACCACTGACTGTAGAAAAAGAACCTGGGTAGTTTCATTAACTATAGTGACTTCCTTCTAGATAGAAGTTTTGAGAAAACTGCTAAGTTTTAGAATATATCTGTTGAATCAATCTTTATCTCTCTGCAAAGTGCCTTTTTATTTGTAGATTAAAACATGAATTGTACTAGAAGAGTAATGGATTTGATTAAAATATACAATTGCCACCTGTTATATTTAAATTACAGTGGTACCTCAGTTTTTGAACATCTCCATTATTAAATATTTCCGTTTACAAATACCATAAACCCAGAAGTAAATGCTTCAGTTTTCAAACATGCCTGGGAAGTCAAACATGCCATATGGATTCCACTAAGTGCAAGATCCTGAGGCCTAGCTGTTGGCTGTTGAGTCCTGAGTACCCACGCAACATGGAGGTGAAATTTGGGCTTATTTGGTGACTGTGTGCAATCAGTCTGTGTTCATGTCATCTCAGGAGCCCTCTGCCCATCACCCCTTGTAGTGAGAAATGGATAAAAGCTGCAAAACCAAGAGAATAATTAACAGAACGACAGTAGAGGTGAAGGAAGTTATTTCCAAACATGAAAGTGAGGTCCGTGCATGTGATCTGGCAACACAGTTTGGTATGACCAAATCTACAGTTTGTACCATCTTAAAAAATAAAGATGCCAATAAAGGAGCCAATGTTGCAAGATGTGTTAAACACAAGACAAAGAACACAGACAATTGAAGAAGTGGCATAATTGCTTTTCATATGGATAAATGAAAAACAGTTGGCCAGTGACAGCATTCCTGAGAGCATGATTTATGAAAAAGCTTTACATTTGCATGCTGACCTTATCAAAAACACCCCTGGAATAAGTACTGAGAGTGATATTTTAAAGGCAAGTAGAGGGTGATTTGAAAAATTTAAGAGGAGGAGTGACATGCACAGTATGGTAAGACATGGTGAAGCTGCCAGTGCCAACAAAGAAGCTGCTGACCAATTTGTTTTGGAATTTAAAGATTATGTAGAGGCAGAGGGTTTCCTTCCCCAACAAGTTTTCAACTGTGATAAGACAGCCTGCTTTTGGAAGAAAATGCCAAAGAAGACCTACATAACAAAGGAGGAGAAATCACTACCAGGACACAAGCCAATGAAAGACAGGCTAACCCTTTTATTTTGTGGGAATGCAAGTGGGATTTTAAGTTGAAGCCTTTGCTAGTCTACCATTCTGAGAACCCCAGCGTATTTAAGAAAAACAATGCCATAAAAAGCAAACTGCATGTGATGTGGAGGGCAAACAGCAAAGCTTGGGTAACCAGGCAATTTTTTTATTGAGTGGGTTCATGAAGTGTTCGAGCCAAGTGTAAAAAAATGCCTTCAAGACAGAACTCTTCCAATGAAGTGCCTGCTTGTTATGGATACTGCTCCACCTCACCCTCCAAGCTTGGAGGATGAGTTGATGGAAGAGTTCAGTTTTATCAATGTAAAGTTTTTGCCCCCCAGCATGACTCCACTCATCCAGCCCATGGACCAGCAGGTGATATCTTATTTTAAGAAGCTTTACACCAAAGCACTGTTCCAAGTTGCTTTGAGGTGACCTCAGACACAGAGCTAACCCTCAGAGAGCTCTGGAAGAATCATTTCAATATCCTACATTGCTTACATGTCATAGACAAAGCATGGAGGGATGTGTCTCACAGAACAGTGAAGCCAGAATGGAAGAGATTGTGGCCAGAAACTGTCCCTGAACATGCATTTGAGGGTGTTGAAGAGGATGCTCCTGTTGCTGAGGATACTGTGTCTCTGGAACAGTCCACGGGCTTGGAAGTGAGTACTGATGATGTGGAGGGGTGAGCCTGAACTCACCACAGAAGAACTTCCAGATGTTCTGATGGAGCAGCAACAGGTGGCAACTGAGGAACTGTCTTTGGAGGAGGAGGAGGGGAGAAGGGAAAGTCTTTCTATTGCAGTGATCAAAGACGTGTGCAAAGTGGGTTGAAGTGTAAATTTTTCTTGAAAAATACATTAATAAAGGTACTGTAAGTCATGCCATTAACACTTTCAATGATAATGCTATGTCTCACTTTAGACAAATTTTAGAACATAGGAGAAAGCAAATGTCAATTGAAAACTTTTTAGTGAGGAAAAGACCCAGTGAGTCTGAACCAGGTGTCAGTGGTATAAAAAATCAAGGGAAGGAATGGCAGGAGAGGAGTCACCTACAGTGATTCTGGAAGAGGGCTACAGAACACCTGAACAAGTCACCTATTGTGATTATTGAAGGGGACCCCCCACCCAAACCATGACTATCATCATTGCAGGTAAGAAAAATTATGTTTTCATTTATATCATCTACAGTACTGTTTTTACATTATGTTTATTTATTATTGCTTTTATAGTACAGTATAGTGTGTTTATTGCTTTCATTGTATATCATTTTATGGATCTGTGCTATCATTAGATAATAAAATTCATGTTAAGTTGCTGTTTTAGGGGTTGATTTTAAAGGTCTGGAACAGATTAATCCATTTTGCATTACTTTCTATGGGAAACCATGCCTCGGTTTTCGAATGTTTCATAACTCAAACGGTGTTCTGGAATGGATTACGTTAAAAAACTGTGGTACCACTATACTTATAATGGTCCAGTTCAAGATGGTGATGGCAGCAGGCTCCTAAACTCATCTCCTCCCATGGACACACTGAATCTCCAGCTACATATAGAGCAGTGTCCTCTGAAAGAAATCCAGAAACTAGCTGAGTGACTCCTACACACTGGGAAAATGAGAGAAAACTCATATTGAAAGAGAAAGGAAAAGCTGTAACACTATATTATCATGAACTTCACCCCTGGCACAACGACGCACAACCAGGAAGGAATGTGGACCTCCCAGCTTCTCCCTCAGGAGCATAGGGATTGAACATCACATGTGGAGCCCCAGCTTTTAAGATTTCTACGTGCACAATGGGCTGCCAAAATATATAGCTTTGAAAGTCAAGGGAGCTTATGTCCATGTCCCACAATGCTATAACAAACTCAGACAGTCAATAAAGGTCTCGTGTGACCATGGCTAAACCCCAGGGTTCAGCACAGAGACAACAGACTGACACAAGCCAATCTTTCTGTGAAAATAGCATATTTACTTTTTTAAAAACAAAAAACAGCAACATATTTTTTAATTTGGGGTGCAGGCTTCTAATTTAACACATCTAGGGGCCAACTGCAGTAATCTCCATAGACCAGAGAGGCCAATGGAAGCTACCTTCCTGCTTTCTTTCTGTCCCACCACAGTTCACAGATATCCCCAAAAAGGAGCTTGTGTACATATTTGGCATCCTCAGCTTTTGTGGCTGCCACCCAGGAGACACATCCATTGATTGCCTGGCTCTGATAGCGGGGCTTGTGTTCTTGGCTTCAAAGAGAAAGTAGCACACAAAGAAACAGTGCTTAACTGTCCATCCTACCAGAGATCAGTTCAAATGAAAAAGAGACAAACACCCATCTCCCAGTCTTCCCCTTTAAAAAAGTTGTTACCTGAAAGTCTGTCTTCCAATCAGCCTGCATCTAGTCAATGACTGAGACCCTACCCTTCGGGAAACTAAAAGGTCTTGGCATACTCTAAACTACTGGAAGCCACTAAGAATAAGAAGACTGCTGGATAATCCCAAAGGTCTGAGAGACAACTAAGAGCTAGGGCACAGCTGAATGGGTGGTTTTACTTGCTACAAAACCTGCTTCTTTAAGACTGGGAGAGGTAGCTGTTTTATCTAATTTATGGAAACCAACACTAGGAGTCAAGGAACATGAAAAAGAATTATATTCCAAACAAACAAACAAAAAAGATAAAAACTCAGAAAGACCTTAGTGAAACAGAGATAAGTGATTTACCTGATAAAGAGTTCCAAAGTAGGTCATAGAGATGTTCACTGAAGTCAGGAGAACAATTCATGAACAAGTGAAAGTTTAAACAAGGGGCAGAATGTATAAGAAAGTACAAAACACAAATAGATAGCTGAAGGA